TGCTGCCTTTTGAAATCTTCTATTCAACTCTTTAGTATCTTGAATTCTTCCTTGTGCTTTGGCTTCTCTGCGCTCCAATGCAAAATTACAAAAAAAAAAAAAAAAAGAAAGAAATACTTGAAGATGGGAAAGTATGAGCCTTACTTCGGGGAAAATTTAAGTGTTTGGATCAAATAAAATATTGGAGGAAGAAAAAAGGAAAGAAAATTGAATGGTAGTATGCACTGAGAAAAACAGACAAATGCTTGAATATGATTCAATAAGCACCTCAATAACTTATAATGAAACAACACTGAATTACCTTTTGTGTCAAGTTCAGTTGCCTAGTAACATCCTCTAATGATTGTGTCAACGATAATTTTTCTTCCTATTTATGAAAATAAGAAAATACGCAGTTTACAATTTAAGACCATCATCTCTAGCCGGCTATTCAAAGAATACCAATCACATCACCGAAGAGCTTGTCAAAGTACAGAAATCTGCATTTTAATACAGTCTTCAGATGATTTGTATATCCATTCAAGTTTGAGACACACTGATCTATAGCATTTAATTAAATTTTCCGAGAAGTTTTAAGAGGCATTCTAATATTTTATTGTTCTATATTCCTTAAACAGTTATTTACACATCTCTACACTTTTTGAGACAATTAAGCTATTTCACTTAAGAAACTAGAGAAGGTCAATATGTGTATACATATCTGCTAGCTAAAAAAATAATGACATCAGAGTTTAAGTGATCTGCTCAAGACTACAGAAAATCAGTAAAAACTGTGCTGCTAAAATTTCCCAATCCTTCACCAGATGCTCTGCTGGAAAAGGAGGCACAATCTCCTCTTATACCAGTTAGATCAAATTTGATGGTAAACACACAAAAAATAAAGTAAAATAAAATTTAAAAAAAATATAATAAATTCTCAATCCTTGATCCATTTGATCATTATTTTTATACCGTTGACTGCATAGAAAAGAAATGTATTATATGTTATTAATACTTACTGGTGGTATTAACTTGCTTCAGAAAATACAAAACAATGTCTATATGCCTTCTCAGTATTTATGAAAGACAGTCTACAGTTATTTTAAAAGACTAACTTCCCCACCAACAAATAAATATATAGAGAAGCTGTAGTATATTCACACAATGGAATACTATGCTGCATTGAAAAACAAGAAACTCATGCAATATCATACAAAATGGGTGATCCTGGAGGATATTCTGCTGAGTGAAAGATCTCAGTCACAACAGGACAAATACTATATAGTGCCACTGTTGTAAAGTGGGACTGACATCAGAGTTGACAGGAAACTAAGAGGGGATAAATAATATATACTGCATTGAAACAGGAGGGAGAGTACTGTTTAGGAGGAATGGATGATTAGGTATTATTGTCATGACAAGACTCCAGAATGAAACCTGCATAGTGGAGTAACCTGGGGTGGGCAGTTGTATAACAATTAAAGAATTATAATTTTTTTTAATTTTTTTTTTTTTTTACTTGTCAAAGAGAAAAGCAAACTGAGGAGAAGAGGGATGGGCAGGGAGGTAACTGTGCGACAAAGAATGAACGGAAATAAAAAAAAATTAAATTAAATTAAAAATAAATAAAAATACAGATAAAAAAATTAACTTCAATTCAAATCTTACCTTAATACATTTCAAACAGCCTGCTAGAAATTTCTTTACTTCCACATCACTTCCAGGTAAAAGTTTTAGTGAAAGGTGTGTAAGATGCTTAAAAGGATTTGTTTCCACCACATTTAACAATACTGGTGAATTATCCAAAATAGCTGCTGAAGAAACTAACTGTAGCAAAAACCTTGGGGGAAAAAAGTTTCACATTATAACATATTTATAAGATAGTGAAACTCTTTCACTAAGATAAGAGTTACTCTTCTAAGAAGGATCAGGAAATATTCTAAACTATGGGTGAAAAAGAAAAGGATTAATTGGACAAAAATAGAGTTCAACTGAAACAATTGAGTACATTAAAGTCCATGAGTTAACAATGAGTGACAGATGTAGAGCAAGAAACAGAAAACAAAAACTAAAATGGAAAACTCACTGAATACCAAAGAAATAGGATATTAACTCTTAGAACTGACAATTTAAAGAATTCAACATTTATCCTTTCCATATGAATTTTCAGAGTAATCAAGTAGCACTAGCTTTTTATAAAAGAAGTACATCAAATAAATATAAGACAGGCACTATCTGTGGCTCCTTTGGGAATATGACAGTCATCATGAGTCAGAAACAACTCTATGGCAATAGGTTTGTTTGGGGGCAGAAGGGCTCTTAAAACAACAACCATCAAATAATGAAATAAACAGAGAAAATATTGCAGTGAGGGAGGTCTTTGTGGGATAGCTCTTAGAGAGCTGTGATGCTAGCCCAGTGTGGTGCCTACAGGGGTTCAAACCCATCAGAAGCTCCAAGAAGAAAGATGTGCAATTTCCTCCCTTGTTATTTACAGCCTCTGAAAACCTGCTGAAGTTTCTTATGAATTTTTCTATTAATTGGTTCCTACTTGACTACAATGAGTTTTGAGTTTGTAATAATTAAAAGAATAAAACATTAGCAGCACATGAATAAGTATACACATTAGTTTTTTCTATTTTTCCATGTTTTTGATGTTAACATATGCTTACCTAATACCTTTAAATATTTCAGATAATGATTGTCAAAACTTAAATATTAAGGTTAACTATTTCTGATTTTCATGTGAAGCTCTAGTGGTATAATCCATAGGTAGTTGTGACGCACACCTTTCTGGGGGATCAAATCACCGCATCTCTGAGGGAGAAATAAGGGCAATCTCCTCCCATGAAATTTACAGTCTCTGAAAACTGCATGAGTATTAGCTATGAATCAGTTCCAAATCAATGAGAATGAGGGGTTTGGAATTTCTGATTTTAATTGATTCCTAAATCTGCAAATTAAAACTCATAATCACAGATTTAAAAGACAGGATTTTAATATAGTTACTCAACTTGTCTAAATGCACTCTATTCCTAACTCTAACCTTCAAATTTGTTTACATTTTTTAAATATTAAACTCACTATAGCATTTAAAAACACAAACAGATTACATAAAATACATGAAAAAATTATTTTGCCACCAGTTTGTCTTTCAAAGAAGATTTTGCCTTGAAAGAAATTAACTAATGTAATGCTTTTACGGGCCATACCTGGGAATTTCTTTGCTGTGTTCATTAGTACATTGCTGAAGGAGATCTATAAATTTCTGTGGAAAAGCTAAGAAGTCAACTAGAAGGCCTTGCTGGAATTTTAAACTAAACAGAAGACAAAGAAAAAAAAAATTTTAATAAAAAAATTAATTAAGAATAATACTATTAATGATTTTGTAAAATCTACTGAGCAGTCATTATAATCAAGAATTAAACTAAAGAACTTTGATTTTTATAGTAATTAATAGAAGGGGAAATAAATTTAGCTAAATCAATAAATCAATGAATTTAGCTAAAATTCCAAATTTTTAAGCCATTTTAAACAGAACTCTCATAATACGTATCTTTCCAAAACATCTTGAATAATTGTTATGTTCTCAAAATAGCTAGTTTATCTTCACAGAGACCAGTATCAATACATTCACAAAATTTGCAAGACAATTAATTTGAGGCCAGGAAAAATTAAAATTACCTCTGAAAATCTTCCTCAGAAATAACGAGGTTATACAGGAAAAATGGATCAGTATCATCAGTCAGACGAATCACTAAATCCTAAAAGAAAGATTATTAAATTTTATCATGTTTTCACTTGTGGTTGTTAGGTGTCATCGAGTTGAATACGACTCACTGCAACTCTATGAACAACAGACTCGAATCTTGTCCTATCCTGTGCCATTCTTATCCTCTCTGAGACACTTGGCCAATTACTGCATTCAATCACTGTGTCAATCCATCTCTCTGGGGGGTCTTCCTCTCTTTCACTGACCCTCGATCTTTCCAAGCATGATATTTGCCTCCGGAACACTTGGGTTGTGCTTTTTCTAAGAGAGTAGATCTGGTTTTTAGAGCAATGTCTTCCTTCTTGGAAAGGATCTCATTCAGTAACACAGACATCCCAGTTATATTTTAGATAGCTTTCTTTTCTTCTGCTGTTGCTGGTTTTTCCTTAGTCTTTACAGAATTATACTCTTACATAGGGGTAGATATTCTACTCTTTGAGGACCTGAAGTAGGGGTCTATAAAAGTTAAACGCTAGCAAGCCAAAGCACAGGAATAGCATCTAATTCAGAGGCTTGGTAAAACAGACCCAGCCCATGTTGCACTGCAACATCCTGACAAAAATACTCTTTACCTTTGCCTGTACCATATTTATCTGTATTTTCCCTTTTCTTCAGGTGATCTGATCTGGGGCTTGAAAAGGGACAAATACAGCAGTAGAACTGACAGACAGCCATTATGCAAAAGAAAGTAGCTTTGTCTCTCATTTGTCTCTCAGTCAAAAGACAACAGTTTCAGGTAACAGGTTGCCAGGACTTCCTCCTAAGGACCAATTTACTCCTATCCTGGGTGGCCACTGGTATAGAACTGTTTTCAATGTCAAATGAAATTTATCTTTCATTTCAGACTACTTTGTAAAAAAATAAACTTACAGTGTGAGCAATCATCATGGCAGATAAAGCTAATGGAAATAATGTATTTCACAAAACAATGGTATAAAGAAAATAAGCAAGCAACAAGTTGATGGAGAACTAAGTATTAAAAAAATATGAAGTAATAAGTATTAAAGTGAAGAACAAGTTTTTATTTTTAAATTAAAATTTCCTCAAGACTACTGAAGAACTGCTGAAGCTCTAGAAAAATTTTAAAAACCTATAAACAGAGCTAGAAGTATAAAAATTATAGCAGACCAAGGGGGGGGATATAAAAAGTATAAATACAACCACTATCTTGGAACACTAACAACCTACATATCTGCTCTGCTTCAGAATGTCCTCTTCTGAGACAGCTTCTATTCAAGTACTCCATAAATCTACCCCAGGAAGTTATTTGTTGTTGTTGTTGTTATGTGCCGTGATAAGCGACTCATAGTGACCCTATGTACAACAGCCCTAAGCCCTGCTCTATCCTGTTGCCAATCGCATGGCCTTTGACACACCCATCCCGATTA